ATTAATAACGTTTTGGGCAGGCAATAGAGGATAAGGATTGTCACCAAGTCAAGAGTTGGTCACCCATTCATCAATTAGTCATCAAATCAATAGTTCCTAATTTTGGCCTATAAAGGAGGCATTTGTCATGTATTTAGATATCTTGATTTCTAAATCAAGATCATGCTCTTTCTTTCTCTCTTTGTATTTTTTGTAATGTTTATGCTTTGCTTTCATTAATATCAAGTTTATGCCTTTTATTTCCTTTCATTTACTTAGTTAACTTTTATCTTATTTATATTGTTATTTTGTTTATTTATTTTTCTTTCTTTCATTATGTTTAGCTAAGTTTATTATGTCAAGGTGAAAATGTTACATTAATGGTGTAAGAATAAGTATAATGTAAAATTAATATGGACTTTAATATTTGATACTAATATATTTTGTATTTGTTATCTTATTCACTCTTTAATACTTTGCTTGTTAAATGACTAATCTTGATTTATATTGTATAACACTAAGTACAGTAAATGATTGACACTTTCATAGTTCATACTGTATGGTATAACCGACACTTGAGCTATGAAAAGAACTTGATTTATTGTTGACATAAGTTATAATCATGAATGTTTGATGAGATTTACAAGTGTTAGCATTAATCGAATAAGATGATTAATGTAATCATGTTAACAATCTATAATCTAATGGGAACTTCCTTTGTGTGTGGTTTTCAATTGAATAATAAGAGTTTATACTATATTTGTTTGACATACAATTAGTGAAACCTCTAACCTTGACATTTGTTATTATCATTGTTTAATCCCTACATTAATATTTCATCTCAAAGTTCTCATCATTTTCTTCTTATTCTCGTTCTTTATTATTATTATTATTATTATTATTATTATTATTATTATTATGGTTGTTGTTGTTGTTATTATTGTTATCATTGTTGTTGTTGTTATTGTTATTATTGTTGTATTATTGTTATTTGTAATTTATACAATTAACTTCCATGTGGTTTGATCTCGGTCTTGCCGGGTTATTTATTACTTCGACACTCCTGCACTTGGGAAAAAATATCAATCTTTTAGTCGTGTCAAATTATTACTCTATCCTATACTGCAGGTCTAGTCAATTTTTTTTAATGTAAAAGAAAGTTAAGTGTTATTAACTTTTTTCTAATAGAAAAAAGTTCAAACCATATAGAAGTTGATTCGATGTGACTTGATCGACTTGACAAATTAAAAAACAATCCAAATGATAAGTAAAAACATATTTGACTCTAAAAAAATTCAAAATGATATAATTTTTGTTTTAAATATAGGAATAATAAAATGTTAGATCGATTTTAATCAACTTGAGTCAACCAACCAAATCCATAATGTCGGTTATGAGACTATAATAACCCCATAAAAATAAATCAAAATAGATTACAAAACTTAATTTCTAATTAATCTAATGTTGAGTGATAAAATTGAGAAAAATCAATAAAAAAAGACACAAAAAAACAACTCGAGCTAACTCAGGTTAACTCATTAAAACCATAATCTCAATTATGAATGAAGATAATTTTATAAAAAATAAATTAAAAAATAACCTTAACGAACTACAATTATATTGCAAAAACCTGGATAATGTTCCGAGAAGTGGTGGTTAGTAAATGGTATCTCTTTAGATAATATTTATTAGTGTGTTAGCAGTTATTTTTTAAAATATTTTTTATTTAAAAATTTAAAATTTAGAAATGAAATTGAAAACAAAAATATTTGCATAAAACAATTAAAAAAATTATAAATAAGGATCAAAGTGAAAAAATAACACATGAAAAATTAAAATCGGATGATAAAATAAAATAAAAATTTAAATTTATAAAAAAATTAATAACAAAAATTAAAAGGAACCAAATTCAAAAAAATAAATATATCAAAGGGCATCTTTCAAATCCTGGAGGGCGAGTCGTGAAAACCAAGGAGCAGAGAAAAGAAGGAAAACCAAGGAAAGAGTTGTCGCCGTCAAATTGGAGATTTGTTGACGAGGTTTGAGGGGTCGCCAATAGGATTCAGACACCATCCTGGAAAGTAGGCAATGCATCACATGCTGCATAAAGACTGCTACCATCTTCCCTCACTGACACGTTGTCCACTTTTTTAATATTTACTAAATATTAAAAGACAAATTTACCCCTCATCTAACTTAATAAGAGCACAAAAAAACAATGTGAAAAGGCCAAAAACACCAGTAGATTAAATTTAATTTTCTTTGACTTTCAAGTGCAGTCGTGCAAAAGCATCTTGCTTTTAACGGTGAAAAAACATAAATGCCCCTGGATGCCATGCCTTTTTTCCTCCTCTTTTTTCTCTGAGGGTATTTTTATATTTATACTGATAAAGAAAGGATAAAAAATCCTCACTGCCCCCCATCAGACAGACCGGATAATTTTCGCACGAGGAACAAAACTGTAATCTCACTCTCACAGCATGAATATAGAGCAACAATAACGTGCACCGCCGTGCTCAACCCCTCTTTATTTTATTTTGTTGTGTTATTATTGAGCACAAACACTGGCCCAACAATCAGCGGTGATCAGCCCCGAATTATCACTTAAACATCATCCTCGAGAGGGGGGTCTAATTTCCTAACGGCTCTGTTCCTACCTTCACTAACATTTCAAATATCATCTAATTTTGAAATTTGAAATAGAAAATTAAAACATGGGCATCTTATCTAACTTTCAGATGTAATTATGTAGCAATGGTAGAGAATCAATATCTTAATATTCTTTCATGCCACTGACTATATATATATATATATAATCCTACGCGTGACAAAAGTGATTCTCTTTCTTACCATTTTTCCATGAAGACCTGCCGAATGTCAATAAGCGCGTTTTTGCTTGATAGACCAGCCAATGAAACGTAAGAAACATGATTCGCATGGTTACAATCGAGTCTGATGCTTCCTTATCAAAGATACTAGGAAACTCAGCAGGAGATGTCAATATGCTTCTACAGAATCCATGGTAATTGGTTGAAACAAATAAGTTATATCTAGCAGCGAGACACTCACCTTCTTCTTCTTCTTCTTCTTCTTCTTTGAAAGTACTATGGATAATTGAATCAGCTAATACACACCTTTATTAATTTACAGATACTAAATTTAATAACTATATAAGTCATAAGAGTTTATATGATCCAAATTATTTATATGAATATTTAGATAAGTTTAAGTATATCTCAACTAATATACAGATATTAAATTTAATAATCATGTAACTTATAAGAGTTTATATAATCTAAATTACTGCCAGTGAATTTATTTCTTTCTATAAAAGCCACGCATCCATTGCAGTACAAGGTGATGGGCAATTAATCTAGGGCACACACGAACAACCTCTTCGGTACGAGGCAAATTTTAAGGATGGCTTATTAATTCTATAACACATATATTTTGCTATTGTGAAAGTAATTTAGATTAAACATAAAAAAAATTAGAATTCTCAATAATTTATTTATTATGAGTGCTTAAATTAATCTAAATATAAAAAAGTTATATATAGGTTAAACTGAAAGTATTATTTTACTCTTAATAAGATTAGATAAATATTATTTAACATTTTCTTTCAAACTTATGATGCACCAACTACAAGTATTGAGAGTTTGCCAAGCATCGAGAGTTTGCCAATTATAAAACAAAAACAAGAGATGAAATGCGTCTTGAAAAAAAATTTATAATCTGTAAGGAAAAATGAACAAAATGTAAAGTAATGGTGTTATGCTTGAGTTAATGATGAGTAATATGACAATCGATCTCAATGTGTTTAGTTCGCTCATGAAAAATAGAGTTGTGAGCAATCTGAATAGAACTCTAGTTGCCACAATACATAGGAGCAGGATGAGAAAAAAAACTCTTATATCAACAAGTAACCAACGTAACTAAACAATCTTTTTGGTAGTAGATGTCATAGAAAAAGCTGAAGAAAAGTCGAAATACTAAATTTTATAGAAGTGAAAGACCAAATATCACTCCAAAATAATTACATAAATTGAACATGAATACCAAATTGTAAAAATTAAAGGGAAGAAGAAATGCTAAAACAATTGTAGAGACAGAACATAAATATCAAATTATAGAAGCTGAAGGAAAGTTGAAATACCGGATTTTACAGAAGTGGAGGACAAAATATCTCTCCAATTTTTTTTTTTCTGAAAATAAACACAAATACCAAATTGCAGAAACTGAAGCAAAGATGAAATATCAAAACAATTGCAGAGACAGAACAAAAATACTATATTGCAGAAGTTGAAGGAAATTTGAAATACTAGATTTTGCAGAAGCGAAAGATAAAATATCACTCAAAAAAAAAATTATAGAAATTGAACGCAAATATCAAATTACAGAAACTGAAGAGCAGAAGAAATACCAAAATAATTACAAAGGCAAAACAGAAATATTAAATTGTAGAAGCTGAAGGAAAGTCGAAACACTAGATTTTACAGAAATAAAAGACAAAATATCACTAAAAAAAAATTATAGAAACCAAACATAGATACCAAATTGCATAAACTAAAGAATCCAAAATAAAGATTTAGATATTAATTCTTCAACCACAAGCATAAAACTTGATATTCATCCTCTACCTTTTAATAGGTCAAACAACCCATGTCTGATGTTTTAACAAATGAACCTAAAATTAAGCTTTAAAGAAATGTATTGAGTATATTGAAATATCTTACAGGGAATGAAGTGGATTATGATAACAATTTTGATACCAGTAGTAGGTTTGATATTGGTGAATATGATTTTTACAGGGATAGCGAGTTCCATAAAATTAGCAAGTTACTATATTAAAGTAATTCAGATTATACATTAAAAAAAAAAAGCTAGAATTCTTAATAATGTTTTCGTAATGAGTGTTTAAATTAACATAAATATAAAACTATAAAACAATTATATATAATTAAATTAAAAATATTATTTTTTAATAAAAAAAGTAGATAAATATTATTTAATAACTCTAACTTCAAAGATTATATCACACTCTTATTGGAATGGCTCGCAGTGGTTGAGCCTTCAGCAAGGTGAGGCCGAACTTATCATCCATGTTTAAGTTCTCTGGCGTGACCCCATCTGCAAGCTTCCAGTCAAACGATAGAATAAGCGAACCCAACATCAAATGTAGCATTCTCATAGCCAATGGTAATCCAGGGCACATTCGCCTTCCGCTACCGAATGGAATAAACTCAAAATTCTGGCCTCGGTGATCAATACCAGAATCCAAAAATCTCTCTGGAACAAATGAGTTTGGATCTTCCCACATGCTTGGGTCTCTCCCTATGGCCCAGACGTTGACCAGTACCTGTGCATTTTTTGGGACCGTGAAGCCACCTATTTCTGCATCTGCTCCTGCTCTGTGAGGGAGTAAGAAAGGAACTGCTGGGTGCAGCCTTAAGGTTTCCTTAATAACTGCTTGCAAGTAAGGTAACCGAGTGATATCTGATTCCTCAAGCAGGTTTCCCTCGCCAATCGTCCTCTCCAGCTCTGCTCGAGCTTTCAATAAAGTCTTGGGACTGTGGAGGAGTTCTGCCATTGCCCATTCTAGTGTGCTTGAAGTCGTATCAGTCCCAGCGCCGAAGAGATCCTGTTGCACAATTGAGTCAAATAGAAGCCCAAAAAGGGAAGTAGCCAAGAACATGTGTTTGATGCAAAGCAGATAAACGGAATGCAAAAAAAACAGTACAAAAATTGAAAGACACGCAGAAGACACAGGATATAATAAAGGAGAACTGACCAAAAAGAAGTGCTTTATACGAGTTGCATCTATCTCTTCATTGTTCACTTCACTGATTGTGAGAAGAGTATCTAACATGTCATCCAATGGGATATAGCCCTTCTCTTTTCTTAACTGCAGCCTTTCAATGATTAAACGATCGAAGAGATCAAGTACCTTTCCAAAATGAATTGCCATGCGACGCCTTATACCTTGTGGATCAATCCTCCGGAGTAAAGGAAAATAATCCACCAAGGTCGGTTTTCCTGCCTCATCCATGATACAGCTTATACGCTCCTTAAACTCCCTTGCAATATCTGAGCTCAAATCGGTCAAATTCAGTGACAAAACAGTATTGGACAATGCATTAAGTGTAGCTGTGAAAGCAGCGTGGCGAAGGTCCACTGCCTCACCTACAAGGCAACGTTCTTGAACCTCCGCTAGGATATCTTGAACTTTCTTACGCCTAAGGTCCTGGTTCGCATCGAGCTTCTGCGCGGTAAAAATATGGGAGTTGCATATCCTGCGAAGGTTTCTCCAGCGCGTTGCAACCGGCAACCAAGCTATACCACTTTCGTGATGATCTAAAGCACGAACTGCATCGACAATGGTCCGATTACAGAAGGTGAGGTCGTGCTTTTGGAGGACTTCTTTGGCCATTGCTGCTGAAGATACTACAATAGTGGTTACTTGCCCAAGTTTTAGACTCATCAATTGGCCATGAGTCTTGGCAAGCTTAGCCAAGGACTTGTGGGGTTTATCACCAAGATCCCAGAGGTTCCCTACAATTGGCAAACGCGATGGACCTGGTGGAAGCTTGCCTGATTTTCTTTTGCTTCTTCTTAAAATATAATCAAGGGATTGAATTACGGCAAAGGGCAGAAGAAAGTACAGCAAAAAACTGATAAAGAAGTTCATCTCTCTCTTTAACGCCACTTTGGGAGATTGTCTGTACTTCAATGTAAACCAGATCATAGAAAAAAACTGTAATAAAGGTCCACTTTTATAGCCATAACATTCACTAACCTTTTCGAAGAAGGGGAATAGAAGAATATTTTACATAAAACAGATCTAGATCTCTTTGTATATTAAAAAAAAATCTTTTTTTGTTAAATTTTTTAGAAACATTACAACCAGATTTAATGGTTTTACCAATAAATTTTTTTATTAATATTTACATTAAAAGTTAGTTGGCACACATATCACTAATAAACTCATAGACACTAATAAACTCATAGACAGAATCGGTTCGTCATAAAAAACTCTCGTTAGTAATTTATGGATTATCAATGAGTTCGTCTATAATAAATATACCGATAAATTTATAGGCAAACAAAACACGCACAAAAAAATTATCTCTTTTATTTCATTGGTAGCTTTATCGGTAAATTTAATATATTAGTGACAGGAAAACCGTATGTAATGCCATTAGTGTTTTTATTTATCCATTAGTATATTCATGGTAAATATAACATATAAAAAAAAAAATACCATTTGTGATTTCATTAGTGAGTTAACAACAATAATAATATTTATATTAGTTATTTTCCAACTTCATGGAATATACCGATAGTCTAGTTCTATCGGTAACCCTATCAGTATTAGTAACATTTACAATAATTCTTTTTTAACTCTCTATAATATAACAACAGAGTTATGTAGTTGGTAACCTCATCAATAATATTTTAAAAATATATATTTAAAAAAAGATATGTTGAACAAAAATAGAAAAATAATTAAAATAAAATAAAATAGTATAAAAATAACATATTTACTACAAATTTATACATTTATACGATCAAATATAATAAATCCAAAATAGAAGCTTAGGACTGATTGCGAGCATCCAACTATCAAAACACTACAATTCATTCACAAGTTCGTTTTCATATAGTATGAATATGCTAGTTTTCTCTGCATACTTCAACTAGAAATTATTTTATAAACTGGAAAATTATTGATAGTCCACATCAAAGTTACCTTCATCACAAAATTTTATTTTCTTAATACATCATAAGTCAAAGCCCTAGATAATCAGAACTACTTTAACTTATCAATCAATGATCAAAGACAAATATCTATATTCTGACTTGGACTATTAAGATATGGTATGACCGTAGATAAAAAACATGAACTTTAGCCTAATATATATTCTTGATGGCAAAAACCATGAATATCATCAACCAACAAGAATAAGGAGCAGAAAATAACCTGAATTAATGAAATTCGTCTATACATAACATAAGATGCACATTCCTTATCTCCATTGAAAATTAAAGATGCATATTATTAAAATATTTCTAGGCTTTACCCTAGAAATAGTGTATTATTACTCCTTCCACTACATTATGTGATTGATACCTTATTATGTGCTCAACAATTTTTGATGACATGAATAATCTTTACAATCTAAATATGATTAAAAAATATCTAAGTTTTCAATGTGCAATAAGAGTACTTTCCTTATCAGTCATGAGTCTATAATAAGAATACCCACATGTTCTACACTTAGTCATCTTTATATTTTTAAGGTAGTATAACATGCAGAGATTTAGATACATATCAATTTTTTGGTATCTTAGATTAGGGAGTTTCATTATGGACTTAGCAATATAGAAATTCTCTTTCAACCTGTATCCTATAGGTAAAAACTTCTTGCTCATTTCAAAACTCTATTATAACCGACCTCACTCAACCCATGATTTTACTTAATATTAAATACATGTGCAACAATCAATAATTTCTTGTGATTTGTGCAACCATTTTATAATGGTTCGTCAAAATCTTTTAAAAGATCGAAAAATCTGGTTGCGTTTGCATTTGGTTCTTCATTTATAATTAGACATTAATATTATACAAAGACTAAAAAAATAGTGTTTTACTATAGCAATTGCAACATTGTTATACTACTTTAAGAATTAGATAAAGTTCTTATATATTTTTATTAATGCATATAATCTTTACTATAATTTGTTGTATATAAGTATTGACTTTTTTACTCACAATTATATTTTTTTACTCGATGTTAAAAAACACTTTAATAACATTTACACATCAATTATTTTGTGTTAGAAAAAAATTAGCCGACCTGCAATGAGACAAGTTGAATGAACATGTTAATACTTTGATTTTTATATTTATTTACATTAATAATTTTTGATATATTTAATTAAATAAATGCATATATTTTTTTATTTATACTTAAAATTTTAAAGAATATATTTAGAAAACTTGAATATTTATTTTTTTCACTAAAAAAATTATTCGATCCATTTTATAATTGTATGCAGGCGACTGTATGATTTTCCTATTATTATTATTATCTATTTAATACGATGTTGTCAGGTGACGATTAACACGCACTCCTCGCGGAAGAGACATTATTACCCTGAACAAAACTTTGATGATTTTGTCAAGGTAAATAACACGCATTTAGCTGATGTGGAATTGTTCTAAAATAATAAGCTCATTTTCGTGCATAAAGATCTTCTCGCGCGAGTTTCACGCTTACCATTAGTCAACGCTCACCCACCATCAGCTCATCAATAATTCAAGGATAAAAATCAAACCGTGACGGATTCGGGACGTGCATGCTTAGCTGTTGCTGACTCCAAATTTATAATTTAGTAATACTACTTGATTGTGTGCACGCAGGAGAACGTGGCATTAATTTTTTTCCATAAAAAAACATGTTTACCTGGGAAGCGTATTTGAAAGAAGAAAAAAAAAACTGTAACTTGAATTATAAATTCGAATGTGTCATAAGTTACTTTTATTCGAATTAGATGATAAAAAATAAATAATAGTAATTGAACTATTTTAAAAAAAAAAACTATAGTGATAACTTGGGAATTTTTTTTTTAAAAAAAAAAATAGTTTAATTTTTAACCAATAAGATATAGAAGGATGAATTTGAATAAAAAAAAGATCCAAATCAATCTCAGTTAGCATGATAAACATATATCCTGAATAATAAAGAATGAGCCAACTAGAACTAACTTTTCCAATATACGGTTCAAGTTATGAGATTGAGATAATTCAATATAAAAAAAAATAATGAAGCCCATTTAAAAAAAATAAAACCAATATCAAAATGATAAAATAAAAAAAAGTAAAACAAAAATAAAATTATCAACCTATGTTAACTTTTTAAACCCTTGACCCAGTCATTGAATGTGAAGCCCAATCCCTAATCAATTAAATGTTAAAGGTTGAAATCAAGAAAAAAAATTCAATTATACAAAAGGATCCATAACAAAAAACAACTAAAAAAATGAGGATAAAAATTGAAATAAAAAGTAAATTAGACAACTATGACTTTTTTATTGAAAAATAAAATTGAAAATAAATAAATAAATAAATGTACAAAAGAGTCAAGAAAAAAATTAGAAATAAAAATAATAAGGACCAAATTGAAAAAAAAACATGTAACAAATTAGGATTAAAGGACTAAATTGATAACAAATAAGACTTTTACAAAAGAGCCAAGAACAAAAAATTAAAAATCAAAATAATAAGGCCCGAGGTTGAGTTTCAAGGGTAATTAAGTTTTTTTTATTATGCTTAAAAAATTAAAATAATTAAAAAGCTCTAGATGCCAATTTTAAATATTGGCTTTCAAACATAGTTGAGTCATTTTACTTTGCTTAAAAGAAATATCCAACATTATTTATAACACCCCACCTCATTAACAAGATATTGTCAGCTTTGGGCCTTCCAATCCACCAAAATCCAGGACTTCCACCCATATCCCCCTCACAGGTTTGTTCTTGGCAACCACGCATGGCTTCAAAACTAGTTTTACTAGTCAAAGTGAGCATGCACTTATAAGGCTTCGGCTCTAGACGCTCGCTTCCGATGTGGAATCTCTTACAATCCCCCTACCTTAAGATGAGCCATCCTCGGCTCTGATGTCAAATATAACACCCTACCTCACTAGCAAGATATTGTTTTCTTTGGGCCTCCCAGTCCACCCAAATCCAGGACGTCCATCCAGGTCTCCCTCACAGGTTTGTTCTTGATAGCTACGCACGACTTTAAAACTTGTCTTACTAGTCAAAATGAGCATGCACTTATAAGGCCCTGACTTTGGATGCTCGCTTCCGATATGAGATATCTCTTACTAGTCAAGACATGAAATTACTTGTGCAGACTATAAAAAATTTCAGGAGTTCAAGGCATTAATCTATACATGAAACAAAAATGTAATTCCTAGGACTTAACGCCAAAATTTTCTCAGATAACCCCTTTTGTAATGTGTCTTCTATTTTTAAAGATTCACATCAAAGAATTAGTTTTTTAATAATAATAATAATAAGTCTAAACATAAATTAAAATCAGCTAAAAACAATTAGGATAACTAATGACAATCACAAAGATAGATTTAAAAAAACATGATAAATATAATCTTTCATCAGAAAACGATACAAAGTGACGTTATTCTTTTCTTTAGCATAATCTATCTCTTACCCAAATCTCTAAAATCATTGCTAATTTTTAGGATTTTTAATTTCTTCTAATTAATACATAGCGAATCTAATTTCTCTCTATATATAATTTTTTACAATTTCAAGAAATCTTATCCAATATTATAATGTGACACTACCTTTAAATGGTTATGAGTTTTAGGTGATGGAATACTTTACAGTTTATTTCAATCATATGAAAAAAATAATTTTGATATAAATATATTTTTCTTGACAAAAATATTATTAGATTTCTTTCATTATTTAGCTTGATTAAAGGCTTATGTATATAAAAGCTGTTGGTTTAATAATCTCGATCAGAGGTTTAATATCATCTTTGAATTCACTTATAAAACTTAAAATATAATAAGATTTTGTAATGATAAATTTATATTATTCGTTAAATATTTGAGCTATTTTGATCTCTTCATATACTCCTCTCCACTCACTTGTCTTGCACTAATTTATTGAACTCTTCCACCATTCATCTCTACTACCAAACCTCATGCAAATGCAAATG